TAACCCTAAACCTAACCCTAACCCTTAACCTAACCCTAAACCTAACCCTAACCTAACCCCTACCTTAAGTTGAATCGGCTTGCTTTCCAAACACTATTTAAAGCGGCCTTCTTTCTCCGCGCTGGCTGTTGTCGCCCTGTTGATGACGTCAGCGACGCGGTTTAATCAGGCGCGGTTTAGTCGACCCGAGACGGGTCACGGAATTATGAAGAAACAAGGCTTAATCCTATATCCATCCAACCATCCACCCACCCATCCACCTATCTACCTACCTACCATTGAAAAACTTAATAGAAAATAGTACATAATTTGGATTTGAATTTGGCTTGGAGAAATATATGGGACACACCTTTATGATGTTTACCCCAATATACAAGTAGTTCTCAATTTACAACAGCTCTTCATTCAAAGTTACAATGGCACTAAAAAAAGTGACTTATGACCATTTTTCACACTTATGACCATTGCAGCATCCCCATGGTCAAATGATTTACATTTGGATGCTTGAAAACTTATGATTGTAGTGTCTCAGAGTCATGCAACCCCCTCTTGCAATCTTCTGACAAACGAAGTCAATGTGAGAAAACCAGATTCACTTAACATCCTTGTTACTAATTTAAAAACTGTACACAGTGATTCACCTAACAAATGTTACAAGGAAAGTCATAAACTGGGACAAAACTCATCAACAAATAACAAATTTCTCGCTTAGCAACATATATTTTGGGCTCAATTGTGGTTGTAAGTTGAGGACTACCTGTATTTCATTCTGCTTTTGTACATATGTTTACTACAGGCAATGGACCCTTTGCTGCAATAAATAGCAGCATCCTATAAACCTCTTCTTGCAGTTCTTACTCTTGAGTAAGTGAGATTCTTCAAGAGGATCTGGAATCAGTTAAAACTATTTCCTTCACTTTCACTATTATGAACTTCGCTTGAAGACTTCTATAAACAGAATACATTACTCCAATGATGGAAAACACCCTAAGATCCAATGTTTATAAATATTTCTTATATGGGTTACATTGAAAACAATGGACTTTAAAATGGCTATGAAACAATATTATTCTTTAATTGAAACTAACAAAACAATGGGGTAAGGAGGGAGGGAGATTTCTTACCGAGCTAATAGGGGATGTATCTCTAGTGTGCCATGTGGCAGGATCCAACCAGTAATAATCCAAGTCACCTGGAAGAGTTATAAACAGAAATAAATATATATTCTCTCTTATTAAGAAAAATATACGAATGAATAAATTACATCTGCGTCCAGAAATATAACGTAAAATATTTGTAAAAAAAGCATTAAATATATAGTGATCCTTTTAAATACAGAGCAATTTATTGTAAAGAACATAATATGAAAATACTAGGCACTTTACATTACATATAAGCTATTTGAATTTTACCGTCCAAATTTTGAAAATCTATATGAATGCACTAATATTTTATAAGGCACACTAAATGCATGTACTGCAAATATACAGGGTATTGGATCTAGGATAAAGTTAGTTCTACATAATTTCTTTAAACTCATAGAAAACTAAGCCATGATTAATTATCCCATTGATTTAAACACAATTTAAACAGCATTAATTCCCATAGCAAATCCTGCAATTATCTGCTCAAAAGTACTTCTTACTGGTTCTTACTTCAAGGGCATTTAATTCTAAAATGAAAGGTATAAATTAGCACCTTGAATCTACATTAAGATTTGAATAATTATTACGAAAAAAACATAATAAATTTTTGTCCCACAATACCATAATTCTTCATATGGCTTTCAAATTACTAATGATAACTGAAGAACATCTAACAGAAATGACAATAATAATTAGTATTTAATATGTATTGCTAAGTAATGAAAAGACACTAACAAAACTGTGTGTGACATGTATCGAATTATTTAATTGAATAGATATTAGACTATGAACTGGATCAGATGATGCGTAGTTGTAAAAAGTAGAAAGAAAAAAGGATTACGATGAAGACTAGAGTATTAGCAATAGGAATAGCAGTTAGACTTATATACCGCTTTATAGGGCTTTCAGCCCTCTCTAAGCGGTTTACAGAGTCAGCA